AGGTCGGGGGGGGGTTGCGCATGCGTCCCACTCTGCTTTCAAAGTCGGGCTGGGAGGGGCCCGAAGCTATTTTCGGAATCCTGTCCTTGGGTAGCTACGGCCCAGGAAGTTACCTAGTGGCATTTATGTTACTTTGAAAACCTCACTACCAAAAAATTAATTAATTAATTGAAATTAAAAATTTTAAAAACCCTCATTACCTAAGCATCTAAGAAAAAATGTTCATATATTCATTGCTTTCTAGTCTCGTTCAAAACTCCCAGCCCCGGCTGGTCCGCGCCATTATCTCGGTGAGGAGCACCAGCGCACAGCTGTACCCCGGACACAGCGGCCACCTGAGCCAACTATTGCTCTCGATTTACTACTGCTCCAAGAGAGAGCTGCTCTACCATTTCTCACTTCTTTTCGTCTTTGAAATGTTCTTAGGTGGCCTAACAGACTACACCCGTTAACTTCTCGGAAGCCGTTTTGTAAAGTCACTCTGATCCTGCTGTTTGATTCCGTTGCTTAGGTAATAAGCACGCCAGGGTGGTTCTTGCCCCCTGCTGGCTGACAGGCCCGCTCGCCGCGTGCTAAAAGCAAGCCCAGAACAGTTAAAGTTAAACTGTGTGAACTCCAAGAAAAAGTATGGAAGGGGGAAGGAGCACAGTGAGAATAATTAAGGATCTTCCAACCTAGCGTTTGTATACATATATGTATTACACTTGTGTGCATACATACCCAGTATAAACGTCAAATAGTATTTTTAAACTAATCACTTGGCTTTTTAATATATTTTTAGTTAACACAGTAACTGTCATGTTTATGGGCACAGTGTGGCATTTCAATACATGTAATACTTTGGGGGTGTCACTCCCACATTTATTTATTTGGTACTGGGGAATCAAACTCAGGACCTTGAGCTTGCGAGGCAGGCAGCAGAACCACTGAGCTAAATCCCCAGCCCACTCCCAAACCATCTTATTTTGATACAAGGTCTCGCCCATACTGGACCCAAATTTGAGATTTTGCCTCAGCCTTCCAAGGAACTGGGATTACAGGCCATATGAATACTACATATAATGATCAGATTATGTATTTAACATGTACTTCACTTTGCTTTTTTTAATCATTGTAAGTATGGTACTAGGGATTGAACCCTTCTGTACTGAGTTATATTCCTCAGCACTTTTTTTTTTTTTTTTTGAGACAGAGCCTCCCTAAATTATTAAATTGCCTAGCCTGGGCTAAAATGAATCCTTCTGCCTCAGCCTCCTAGAGCACTAGGATTGCAGGTGTGCTCTACTATTCCTGTCTCATGTTTCTCACTTTGAATACTATTCTGTGTGTTGGGAATAGTCAAAATCCTCTTACTAGCTATTTTGAAATATCCAGTTAGTTGCTGTCAACCATAATTACCTTACTGTACTACAGAACATTACAAGTTATTTCTCCTACCCAGCTGTAGCCCAATACCTTTTTACCATCCTGTGTCCATCTCCTCCTCCTCACACACTTCCAAAACCCTAATTGATAACAATTATTCAGTTGTAGGCCAGGATGGTAGGCACACTTGTAATCCCAGCCCTTGGGATCCTGAGACAGGAAGATTGCTGCGAGTTCCAGGCCAGCCTGGGATACATAGTGAGATCCTGTCTAAATAAAAACAAAAATATATATACTGTTGTCGGGGATTTAGCTCAGTGGTTCCGCTGCCTGCCTCACAAGCATAAGCACCCAAGTTCGATCCCTGGGACAAAAAAAAAAATATATATATATATATATTGTTGTTTTGGGTTTGATTTTGGGTTTGGGTTTGGGTTGGGGGGAATTGGCTTGGAGGTTTTTGTTTTGGTTTTGATTTTTTGGTTTGTTCTGGGGGGGTACCGATGATCAAACTCAGGACCTTGTGCTTCTGAAGCCAGCGGTGCCACTGAGCTAAGTCCCCAGCCCCTTTAGGGGTTTTTCTTTTTCAGACAAGGTCTCACTATGTAGTTTCAGCTGGACTTGAACTCACTATGCAGCCCAGGCTAACCTCAAATCCTCCTGTTTCAGCCTCTCTAGTACTGGAATTACAGGCATGCACCATCATGCCCGGAATGTTCTATTTTCTATTTCTGAGGTTGTGTCTTTAGTTCGGTGATAGAGTAATTGGCTAGCATGTGCAAGGCTTTGGATCAGATCCCCAGCACTTCAGGGCAAAAAAAAAAAAGGTTTTGAGTCTGGAGTGGTGACGCTCACCTGCAATCCCAGTATTCAGGAGGTTGAGGTAGGAGGATTGTCATAAATTTGAGGCCAGCCTGAACTACATAGTGAGTTGAAGGCCAGCATGAGCTACACAGTCCAAAAAAAAAAAAAAAAAAAAAAAAAAAAAAAAAAAAAAACAGGGATTTAGCTCAGTAGCAGCACATCTGCCTTACAAGGGCAAGGTCCTGAGTTCAATTCCCCACCACCCACATTCCCCATACCAAAACAGAAAGAAAGAATCTATTTCTTTGAAATCAGCTTCTACATTAAGTGAGAATATGGGATATTTATCTTTGGATGTCTAACTTACTTCTCTTGTATTCTCCAGTTCCATCCATATTCTTGCAAAAGGCACTCTCCTTTTCATGACTAAATAGAATTCAGTGATGTATATGTACAATATTTTCTTTATTCATTAATCCTTCAGTGGGCCCCTAGGTTGATGCCATATCTTCAGTTAGCAGTAGTCATGCCCCAGATAAACTTACTGGCCATGACACTGCCATGGGCAAAGCTTGTGCCATATCTTGGCTACTGTGAATAGTGCTGCAAAAACTGTGCCAATGCACATGTGTCTTCAGCATCCTGAGTTTATTTCCTTTGGATATATGCCCAGTGATGGGACTTTGGGTGATACAGAAGTTCTAGTTCTTTGCAAATCCTCCACAATGGTTTCCATAATGGCTGTACTAATTTTTCTTCCTACCCACAGGGTATGAGAATCCCCCTTTCCCCACATTATCACCATCCTTTGCTGCATTTTGTCTTTTGTTCTCTTTTGTTTGCTTTGTTTTGAAACAGGGTCTCCCTGTGTCGGTCAGGCTGGCCCTGAGCTCATTAGGTAGCCCTGGCTGGTCTCGAACTTATGGTGGTGATGCAAACGTGTATATACAAATTAAAAAGAAAAACTGAAAGTAAAAAAGCATGGTGATCCTCATCCCTCAGCCTCCCAGGTGCTGGGATTACAGGTGTGTACAACCAGACCAAGTTTATTCTTTGTGTTTTTGTGTTTTGTTTTTTCCAGTACTGGGGATTGAACTCAGGACCTTGCGCTTGCCAGGCAGGCGGAGGAACCAGTGAGCCAAATCCCCGGCCCTCCCACTATGGTTTTGATTTACATTTCCCTAATGATTAGTAATGTTGACCATTTTTTCATATACTTACTGGTCATTTATATATCCTTTTTATTTTTTTGTAGGGCGGGGTTTGAGACAGGGTCTCACTATGTAGTTGAGACTGACCTGGAACTCACTATTAGCCCAGGCTGGTCTTGAAGTCGCAGTGAACCTCCTGCCTCAGCCTCCTGAGTGCTGGGATTAAAGGCGTGCACCACCACACCTGGCTTATATATCCTTTTTATGTCTTTTCTTGAGAATTAATTTCAATTTATTTATACAACGTTTAACTGAATTATTTGGTTTTTAATTATTGTGTTCCTCATATATTATAGATATTAATTCTTTTTTTTTCCCAGTATTGGGGATCAAACCCAGGACTTTGTACTTGTGAGGCTGGTGTGGTGCCACTAAGCTAAATCCCCCACCCTAGACATTAATTCTTTATCAGATACATAGCTTTCCAAATACATTGTCCCATTCTATAGGTTGTCTCTTCACTCTGTTATTGCCTTGGCTAAGCAAAAACTTATTTATTTATTTATTTATTTATTTTTAAATTTTATTTATTTATTTATTTTTGGTACCAGGGATCAAACTCGGGATCCTGTGCTTGTGAGGCAGGCAGAAGAACCACTAAGGTAAATCCCCAGCCCAAAAGCTTTTTTATTTTAATGTCATTCCATTTTTCAATGTTTGCTTTTTGTTTCTTGCACTTTTGGGGTCATAGCCAAAAAAAAAATCTTTGC